GGTAAATGGCTATGTATCGAATAAGAATCATTTTTTGTTATTCAGTACGAAATACAGAAAGGCAGTAGTACATCTTAGATAATGACAGAAAAAAAAAACATCTTCTTACTAATTTCAATTGAATCTTGTCGTTCAATATGTTTTATAATTCCTGAACTAATTTCATATATACATCGAACATTCGAAAAAATAAGTGGTTGTTTTTCGACCCAATTAGATAGCATGATTTCAGTAATGTTAGAAGAATCATCTGATATTTTAAGACATTGTAAAAGACATTCACGTGACAAAAATAATGTATATTCTTCGGTCGGTGACGTTTCTATTGTCGCCATGTAAGAACACGTAATTTTGTTCTCATTATTGTAACATAAGTCTGGTTCAATTCGAATAATTTTACCAACAATTTTTTTTAATGATGCTGTTAATGACGAACTATCATATGATACGTCAATTAAATCTGGAATAAGTTCAAATCTATAAAAGCAAAGATTTAATATTGAATCATAAACAATATTTCAAGTAAATCTAATTTGATTAGATCTATAACACTTTTTTCTCAAGGCATACTATTGAATTATAGACGACGTTTGATATAAAAATGGATTATTAATTGAAGTGTGAAATAATTTTTGCAAATATGATACGAATCTTTGTATATACGTTATATATATGAAAGTTATCTTATTGTTGAATAAGTTTCGACTCTTCTCGAGATGTTACTTTTGCTATTCCGATAAATAATTTTTAATCTGAAAACATTTTATCATAAATGAAAATAAAAAAAAAAAATTAATTAAATATGAAAGCTGTTTCAGGACAAAACTAATTTTATTATTTTCAATCTTTTGCTATAAACTCAATAATTTAATGAAAAAACAGAATTGTGGTCTGAAATTTTTAAGCTGAATTTTCCAGCGTCCACAGTTTAATTGCACATACAAATTATTTGAAACTAATTATAATTTATTAACATTATTAGAAAATGTCTACTCCATATCTCTTTTCGATACTTATCGATAAAGTGATGAACCGTAGTAATTTGTTTATTTTAATATCTATTTCACTTTGAGTTTACGATTAATTCTATGCCACATGCAAAACTTTAGGATTACTAAAACAATGTAGGTGGATCATTGGGAACTTTTGATTCCATATTGACAACAAAATTCAGTACAGTCAAAACACCTGGAGTAGTATTCATTATCAAACCTTACCAATTATATGCAAATGAAAAGTTCACTGATAAAATAAGTCTTTTTTCAAGTGACTTTTCTCGATAAGAAATGCACTACTAGAAAGTTGATAATTATATTAAATTTAAAGCCAAAAATAGCTCTTATTCGAAGATGGTTTTTGTTATTTGATGAACGTATATTGTTTCAGCATACATTCCTTATTATTTAATTAATTCCTTTTTTATTTTGGTTTATGGTGAAATATTTTTAAAATAAAATTAATTCTTCTTAGCGACTTGGTCTTAGGTCTATGTATTGCTAAGAGAATTGGACTAAAAATTAAATAGTAAAGATAGAAAAACAACATTAAAAATAATCTTTTTTTAGAACACTTATAATTATATCTCTTATTCTCTATCCATGACTGGCTGCTTTTGTACTTATATATCGATATTAAAAATAGTATACAGACTTGTACTTTTACCCCCTCCTTCATCTGATTTGACTCAAATTGTCAAAAAAAAAGTGCAAAAAAAGATGTTTTTTTTTGTAATTGCGTGTTGTGTACAGTTCTGATGATATGTATTAGAACTTACTTGGTTTCTGTGATTGCTGCCAGTGATATAACATCTTTGAATAAACGTGTTTTTACCGCACTTATGTTATAAGATAGACCTGTTGTTATCGAATTAAAATGAATTTCATATATATTTAAAACCATTGCTCCCGTTCTATCTCCAACGATTACTTCCTTGCGTAATTTTTGAGTTCGTTTATATCCAGATGTAACTATAAATGATTCAGATCGATTAACATGAATAATTTTACATTGAACAGCACATATTCTTTCTTCTGCTAATGACTTTAACGATAAAATATCTTGATTTATGCACCATTGTGGTTCAAATGTTAATTTTTTTTCAGCTAAACGAGTTTCATTTGTTATTGTGTATGAAGATCCATTTGATTTGAGGTGTAATAGTTCAAATCCATGTTGATTATCAAATAGTATTCGTAGTTGTGCATATAAACGGCAAACAACATTTGAACTCAAATAACGCATTACTGTTATAACAGAACCATTATGACCTTCCATTGTCAAAGTATAATGATGATTTGCATTGTTTTCATTTTTTATAATGCTCGTTACTCCAATAACATAGCCTTCTAAATTAATCGATGTTACTTCATTGGTAGTTGATGTTGTAAAATTGGTCCGCTTCATTTGCGATTGAATTATATCGTGTAGGTAATAAAAAGAATATGACAGAGAACGAAAAAAAAGGATGAATAGAAAATGGTTCAATATAAGACTTCAGAAACAGATATAGAAAAGTAATAATAGTGGAAGCAATTAAAGTGAAAAAATTGAATTAATTTTCAAAAATTGATTATTACAATACGCGCAATATTCACATAGAAGATTTAAATATTCATTGTAAAAATTCTAATTTTCTCTTTTTACGTTAGTATGTTGATTCGTGTGAGTTCGAAGCACTTCTTATATGTACCATCAATTGTTGATTTTGATAATGAGCAATCAATTCTATGTCGGATTGTTAATAATACCAGTATAGAAGATAATCAACATAAGATGACAGATGAAATGGATAATATGATATTCAATCAGTCGGATCACTTGTCCGAAAATAATTATCCGATCGATTTAAGAATAGCATCTAAAAAAGTAGTCTACATACAGATATTGTTATATAATAATTTTCATTTTTGTGCAGACATTAGATTCTAATGAACTTCCAGTAATATCTAAAGCATCAAAATCATCGATAAACATGTTAAACTCAAATGACTTAAATAACCAACAACCTGTTTTCTATGATCTGTCTCAAAGCAATTTTGTTAGTTCGAATTATACTAATCTTTTGGAAGCACAAAAAATTAATTCGAAATGTTTGAATTCTGTCGTATATACTGAACAATCGGAACGATATTATTGTCCAAAGCGTTGTAGAAGATCTTTGCCTATTATTAGTACAATACGAATTACAGACGATTGTTTAAAATTACCTATGGTTAAATTTCAATCACGACGTAATTGTCGTCGACAACAAAAACGTGCTTTACAAAAAGGAAAACATATTAATACCTGTAAATCTTCATCTACAACTGGTCTTAATAAATAAATAAATAATTTACTATACATTAAAAAAAAACTCTACCTCTCTTGTTCTATTTCTAATTTAAGAAAAAGTATTCTATTATGATTTTTCGCGTAGATGAAATATAATACACATAATTAATATTTTCATCTTAGTATATTAACGAAGATTAATATCTCTTACTTGTTATTTTGAGTGCTTAAGTTTCTCCACTCTTTGTTATATAATTCGAAAAATATCGAGCAGTTACACTTGAAAAAAAATACAATCAATTTATTTATTATC